TCAACCAATAATACTAAAATCAAAAATTTGCCAAGCATTGCCTTGTCTACAGTTCAAGGAGCTTCAAAAAGAAACAGCTAAAAGACGTACCACTGGGTATGGTGTTTGCATTACTCTCTTTTTGTAACACCATGTAGAATTCTTAAATCTATATGCTTGTTTAATTTTAATAAAAATGAAAACAAAAAAGCCCATATGTCTATCAAGAAATTACAAATGCCCTTTGATTCAGCAATGCCCCTTCTAGGAATTTCCTTATAAATGACTTGGCAAAACTATGGAATACAAGGTTATTCATTATGGCATTATTTATGGTAAATGATTGTAAACAAAAAAGGGTCTGGATAAGTCAACTCTTGCATTTATACAAAGGAATACTAGTCAGCCATAAATAGGGAACCAAAAAAAAAAAAAAAAAAAAGGCTTGTCAGGGATTTAGCTCAGTGGTGCCACGCCTGCCTCACAAGCGCAAGGTCCTGAGTTTGATCCCCATCCCGAAAAATGACAAGTGAATGACAAGGTGTGGGGAGAGGGAAAGGAGAGTCTAGCAGAGTCCCTGGTTTCTGGCTTGAGCAGTGGGCTAAATGGTGCTGCCATTCCCCAGTAATGCTACTTGAAGAAGACAAAATGAGCTACTTTCTTTCCTTACTGACTTGACAAGCTGGCTGGGGATATCTAGCTGGTGTTTAGATATGTGGGGCTGAGCTCACTTGGGGGTTATAATGTAAGTCAAAAATTAAGTGGCTTGTTAGAGAGTATCAAGGGAGAGGAGGTTGCCACTGGGGACTGTTGTTGTTTGGTGGTGCTAAATTCAGAACCTGGGGCCTTGGTTGTGCTAGTCAAGTACTCAACCATTGAACTACATCTCTACTCCTTTTTGAGACAAGAGTCTTGCTAGTTGTCCAGGCTGTTCTCTAACTTGCAATATTCCTGCCTCAGTCCCTGAGTATCTGGGATTACAGGTATGTACCTGAGGGTTTGAGCACCAGTATCCCCCACCCACCCCACTACTGGGGATTGAACCAGGGTTTTTGCACTGAGCTACCCCTTTTTATTTTTTACTTTAAGACAGGGTCTTGCTAAGTCACTAAGTTGCACAATGTGGGCTTAGACTTGAGATCCTCCTGCCTCAACCTGGAATTACTGGTGTGTGCCACCATTCCCAGCTGAACACCCAATTTTCAAAGGAATGCAGAGAGCCCCCACAGGAGTTTGAGAAACAGTGCTCAAATCTGTCCAACTACCTGTTTTTGTGAAACACAGCATTACTGGAACCCAGGCACATCATTTGTGTTTACAGCTGCTTTCAGGCTGCAGTCAGCAGAATTGACTGGGGTGACAGAGGATTTGCTTGTAAAGCTGTTACAAGTCAGCTAAAGGGTTTTATATTCAATTTGTATAGGAAATCATAAAATTGGCATGTCTTTGGATGGGGCCTGAGGAGACCCCCAAAGAGAACACAAAGACCTCAACTTGCTCTCTACCCTAAAAGGTTTGTTGACTTGTCACAGAAAAAGAATTTTAGGACACCTCAGTGAGAGACAGACAGATTTATTAGGCAGAGTTAGAGAAAAACTAGGGAAGGGGCTTTTGGTTGAGGAGCTAAAGGAGGCACAATTCTGATGACCAGACCAGCCCATTAACAAAGTATAAGGAATAGCTTTATGGCTTTGCTAGGGTGGGCCAGACACTAGTACTTTGCCTTTGGATCTAAGTATGGCCTTAGGTTTTAAGGGATTTTCTCCCTGTAGGAGCAAATGCCAGAAAATTCTGGCATTCCCCCCTGCTATTACAGTTCATCTAGCCCTTGCAATAAAAGTAGAGAGTAAGGGGAAGGCACATTTTATACACTGTGAGCAAGGGAGGGGTGACCATTAATTAGATTAAGAGATGACTAGCAGATTAGTATGACTTAGCTCTGGGTATGTTTGTGGGGATGATTGGCGTATACGCCTGAAAACTGAGGGGTGAAGACCTATCCTGGTTGTGGGTGGCACCAACTAATAGGCTTGTATCCTGAATGGAATAAAAAGGAAAAGAAGAAAGTTTGCCCATTTTTAAGGACCCCTATTCATCTTGAATGGGTCTGTCCTTTGCCACCATCACCTTTGGACACTGGTCTCCAGTTTCTTTAGCCTTCCCATGCAGACTTATTCTGGTGACACACCATTGAGCTTCCAGGACCTTTAATCTTGGGCTGGTGCTGCCTCCTTGATCCCTCATGTTCTGCAGCTTCCATCCTCTTGGGCTTAACAGCTAGTGGATCCTCCAGCTTTCCAGTGTGTGGACAGCCATTGTAGACTCTCCTGCCTCTGACCCTGGGAGCCTACCTAATATATCCCTTGCATAATTATGTCTTTTCTATCAATTCTGTTCTTCCAGAAAACCTTAACTAAAATACCAGGATAGAGAAAAAAAAATAAGATATTTCCATCCATCTTTAGTAAGACTCAAGGATTAAGGGCTGAGAATCCATGTCCCCTCTTTGAGGATGCCTATCCTGTTTCAAAGCCAAAACTATTTTCTTACAGAAAAGGTTTGTCAACTCCTGCCTAAACCCTTGCAGCAGCCCCTGCATTGCAGTGAACAGGACTTCCAAATATCACCTGGGTAGTTCATTCTGAATTGCCCAGAGAATGAGTTAGCTGTAGCTGGAGTTCCCCCTTTCTAGGGAAGAGGCTGCACTCAAACTCAGGTTCCCTGGGAACTGGTGCCTTCTCCTCAGCAGTAGAGGCTGTGCCATTCTAGGGTGGCTGGCATTCCCAGACAGCTACAAACTGTTGGCACACCACAGCCAAACACCTGCTGCTCAGCAGCTTACATATGCCCCCTTGGACAAGACTGGTTCTTCACTCATGTGTGTCCTATATTGAGGGGCATTAGTAGGGGCAGATGTTACCTTACTGAGACAGAGCTGCTCTGGACCTCCACTCACCTCTCCATGGGATGGTAGGAGAATGGAGGGTCTGTACTTTTTTTCCCTGGCAGTTTGACCCTGTACATTTTAAATCTCTCCCATAATGCCCATTCCTTAGCCCAGGCTGTGTGGCTTCTTGGAATTCACCTGGAAGGGTAGTGCATAACAGCTACACCTCAGAGAAGACCCATCTTGATAGAGATGCCAAGAATAGCCACTTAGCACAATGGCTTCCTTGCATCCATGTTGACTTCCAATTCATTCTTAACTCTGTGGCTAGAATGGGACTTTGTAAACAAACTTGCTGTCTCACCTACTTTCTCCCCCAAACCCAATTAACATCCTTCAGTAGCTTCCTGTTGATCTTTAAAAAAGGCAAAATACCAAAATCTTTAATGTGACTTAATGAGACCCAGCATGACATGGCCCTTGTTTCTCTGCAGCCCCAACTTCTGTTGCTCTTCTCTGGACTACCCCAAACATGTCAATCACTTATACGTAGTAAACATTCCTTCCTGCTCTTGAGCACAACTGAGCCCTCTGCTGAAATGCTTTGCTTTTACCTAACCCAACTCCTAGTCATGTTTCCAGAATATCAATTTACATTTATGTGTGTGATTATTTGGTTGTTTTCCCCACTAGATTGTAAGGTCCACGTGTCTCTTTGGTCACCAGGACCCTAGTTAATATTTGTAGTGTTTGGTATAAAGTAGGCTCTTAATAATATTAGTTGAACACTTTTTTTTTTGGTACGGGGGATAGAACTCGGAACCTTGCACTTTCGAGGCAGGCGGTGGAACCACTGAGCTAAATCCCTGGCCCTAGTTGAACACATTTTTAGGTAAAATGTGGAAAAGCGAGGCCTTGGTACCAAATACTGCAAATGTATTTATATGAACTGTCTGGAAAAGGCAAATCTATTCGGACAGAAAGTGGATTAGCAATTCCCAGGGGTTGCGGGTAGGGACAGGCGTGGCTGTAAACTGGCATGGGAGATTTTATTGAGGTGATGAAAATGTTCTAAAACTGCACAACTCAGTAAATTTACTGAAAACTATTTTAAATGGGTATATTTTATGATATATATATAAGTGATATCTCAATAAAATTAAATTTAAATTAACAGTTATTACTGGAAATGGGAGCTTTATCTTGCACTAAGTGTATATATGTGTTTTTGGACTTTGTGTTCTGTACTATTCACCATATGTCATACTTGCTCAATTATTGTTCATGGATATACAGTATTAAAACCTTAGTCTTTAGAGTATATTTTCAGTGTCATGTGTCTGTGTGTACCTTTTGAGTAAGAAGAAACAGGTACTAGGTACTTCCTTTGTGACACAAGCCAGCTGAAATTGGATTTAGGATTTCTAGGAAGGACATATGCTAAGAACCAAGTGTCTTTGATACTTAAGGATATTTGTAACATTGAGCTAGGAATTTTGTGACTGGATTAGGAGTTTTATGACTGGATTCACTCTGATTTCAGGAATAAGGTGCAATGTTGGGATGGGAAAAGTTTTAAAAGTAATCTGAATTTTTGGATTAATAACTTTAATGCAAATATCCCCGGAAACAAAAGCCTCAGAACATGTCCAGCAGCTTTCTGATCCTCGTGAGCCCTCTGTGTGGACTTGTCTGCATCTTAGTTATGAGTCAGTGCCCGGAGGCAGACTGGCTCTGAGGGCTAAGGACGTTAGTGCAGGCAAGGATTTGGAAGGAAGCAGCAGCAAGGGGTTGGGTGAACAAGACAAGGAATGCGCAGGCCTAGCAGAGCAGTTTCCTGGGTGGCTTTAGAGTGCCTGAGAACCGTTCCTCTGGGGCCTGGACAGCTGATGAGCTGACTGCTGCTCCCTTTAGGTAAGCAGTGCACTGACTCTCCCTGTGCTCCAATGGGGCTTCCAGGACTCTGGAGAAAACCTAGGGGCAAAAAAAGCAAGGTCTGGGACCTGCCTGGGTAGGACTTGCCCTCATCCACAGCTAAGGAGAATTCAGAGGTAACCTGAGCCATGTTACCCAGGCCTGTGTCTGTTGAGCATTTTTCAAATGAGACTCTGTAGACAAATGGACACTATTCCCATTGCACTTTTAAATAAAGTTTTTTATTAGTGAAACATTTCATTGCATTAAGGGTAGAAATAAAACAGGTCAAGAGTCACATGAAAGGAATCCACTGTACAAGCGGCATGAAGAGCACTCTGGTCAGTATTCTCTTTCATAGGTACAAGCAGTTCACAGAGTAATGGCGCCCAGAGGGCCAAGTATGAGGATCATCTTCTGCAGAATTCATCTCTCAAGCAATTTAAATTAAAAACTGGCCTCCTTTAAGTAAAAACCCCAATAGGGGTCAGTCATGTAGTGCTTGTTCCACTTTGACCGTTAGTGATCTTTCTAGAACATAAAGAAAAGTCTGGAGCTAAAAGTGGCAAAGCCTATCTCTTGTTGATGCTAAAGTCCCAGTTTTCCCTGCCTGCCATTCTGTGATTGCTGACAAAGCTGACAATCACAGTGCCTTTGGGCGACTTTCCAGGATAAAGGCTGCAAAAGCATGAGCCTGAGGAGCAGTTGGCTTTTATCAACCTAAAACCAAACAAGTGAATTCATTCTTCTTAACCAACTTGTAATTCTCACTACAGTGTATGGGTTTACCACAGATTTTTCAGAAGGAAAATACCAAATGTGGTTTTCACCAATAAGTATAATGATGTAAATATGGAATTAATGTTTTGGGTCGTCTTGCCTTTATGGGACTCAGTCTAAATGTATACATGACTAACTGGTATCACTTAGAGCAGGAGTGGCAAACCTTTGGCACATGTGCTGCACCTGGCTGCTTGTATCACTGAAAGCTATAAAAGGTTCACCATCACTGACTTAAAGACTATTTAAAAATCTCCTCACAGATCACTACATTCTGAAAATAGGACTGAGCCAATGCACATCCCCTGCCTTGGCTTATCCATTATCTTGGTGTGGAACAGTAAACGCATAAGGAATAAGATATGCCAATTACCAAGTTAAATACTAAACCCTAGCCTAGGTATTTGGAAATATTTAAGGCCAAGTATTTTTTAATTTAGTTTTTCACATTTTGGCAATTTGATGTATCTAAAAGTTTTCATCTTGATTTATAGAAAAGTTGAGAGTTAATGCATTGCCCCTTCAAAAAGGGAAACATAACACACACATATTGCTTTAGTATAGCAATAGGAAAGCTGGGTATGTACATTAAAGTGGCTTATTACCTCCATACAGATAAGGAGTTATGTAAATGACATCCATAATTCCTTTTTCTTTTAGTCTCTTGGGGCAACTGAATTGTTGGGAAATTCTGTAAGCACTTTACCAAGTAACTGTGTAGACTTCTTGGTTGAAATCAATGTGGAACTTTCAGAATCAAAGCAAATGCCCCTAACTCTGCCTGAATTCTGAACTCTGTGAAGTAACAGGGGTTCCCTATTCTCTTGCCTTTGGCTACACTGCTTTAGATCTCAAGGGATTTTTCTTTAAAGCACTTTCTGTGCAGTACTTTAAACACTTGCCATTCTGTCTGTAAAATGATTTGTCATGAGAAGTGTAGGGCTCATTTTTCTCAGTGACAGTGAACTACAAAACAAAAAAAAAGAAAAGAAAAAATTGAGTCTCAGGAAAGAACTTATAAAAACAATTTCAAAGTTACCAAGAAGACTGTCCCAGAAGAAATGCCTGTCTGCTCTAGACTTCCTGAAATGTGTAACTTCGGTTATGAATGAATGGATTTCTAATAGCCATAATTTTACAAATAATCACTCAATAGTATTGTATTCATACAGTATCTTATTTGGCAGGGCTGACTGGAGAAAATCACTGATTACATTCTCCCAGAGAATCTTACATATCAAAATAATTTCAACTAAAAAATAATTATCTACAAATGTCATAACTAGCATTTAGTTTTACTCTTTATGAAATATCTGTACTTATCCTTACCAACATTATTTATACATTCTCTTGGTTCACAAAAATACAACTTAAAAATCTTTCAGCACTTATCACTGTCCACTCATGGATACCGCCTCACTCAGTCCCTTCCCTGCTTGACTCCTACCCAGTATAAAAGTAGTCAGAAGACCAAGTTATTTTCCTGGAGGAATTATGAATTGAAGATTAGCATGATATGCAGTATGTAATAGTTTAAAAGAAGAAATCAGATGCATTTGAATCCTATATTGGATGAGGTTACCATTTTACCCCTGGTCTCCAAACTGATACTTCCATTTGGGGAGAGAAATTAGGAATATGACAAAAAGTGGTACATATGTACTTGGAACACAAAACTTGGTGAATGAAGCATATTGACTAAGGTTAGACCAAAGAGCATTAACAAGTGATGCAGTGACACATTAACAACAGTGGTTACAAACTTCCATAGCCACCAGAACCCAGCCCCCCCCAAGTTACTATATAAGAATTTATTAAATACTTGCTAGACATATGAAAAAACAGTTTCAGAAACCACGTGATTCTATAAAGCACAATGGCCAGCCATGTTAGCCTGCCTTTTCCTATCTGGCCAGAACACTCCTCTCATCACCTGCCGACACCGTGTCTTCTCCCTCCTCTTCACACTTACAGAGTCTGTGAGGATGTGGGGGCCCCTGTCACAGTCCAGGTAAGGACAGCTCACACATGCCTTCACTGAGAGATGGTTAAGTTCTTATGAGGGGTGCTCTTTCATCTGCTGTTCCCTGAAACACAAGAAAGAGGCAGGGAAGTTAGGTCAGGTCAGAAACTTCTCCCCAGCTGTGAAAAGTCGTGGGAGTGGGAGTGGAAGAAGGCAGAGAAGGGAGCTGATAGGAAGGAGGGTCATCCCACTCACCTCTCCTCTCAGCCTGCTGCTTGTTACTCTTTAAGATCCAGACCTATCCTCAAGGAGGCCTTCTCTGGCCATTCCAACCCAATGCCAAGTAGAGCCCTCCTCTATGTTGGCCCAAACTCTAGATTTATTATACTCCATTGAATTTGCCTCCTTCCTGGTTTGAAACCTACCAAGAACAGTATCTCAGAGGTCTTAGGTGCTCAATAATGCTCGTTGATATATGAAAATACCTGGCTATAGGAGTGGCAATTAACATTTCCAGGAGGTTTCATTTGGTAGGTTTTTGTTTGTTTTGCAGTACAGGGTATTGAATCCAGGGCCTCTGCATTGAGCTTCATCCCCAGCCCTTTTTTTATATTTTGAGATAGGGTCTCATTAAGTCACCAAGTTGCCCATATGCTGGGCTCAAACTTGCATTCCTTCTGCCTCAGACTTCTGGAGTGCTGGGATTTGCAGATATGTGCACCCACACCTGGCTTCATTTGTACTTCTGAAAAATCTCAGTGGGTGCACAAATTCAGATTGGAATAGTCACAGGTACAAGTGGTAAAATAGTTTGCCTCATGGCTAAGTCAGGTTAAAGAGACTAGACAGGTTAAAAGACATCATGGAAGAATGTGGAAGGTAGGATATACCAAGCTAATGTTACTTGTATGGTTTCAACCTAGTTCATTTCCTCCTTCACATTTGCTCAGACACTTAGTTTAGGATGGGGCAGGAGGGGAAAAAATGTTTGCTGTAAGGAGGGGAGGTGCTGAACATTTAAGAAGGGTTTCTACAGAAAAGGCTCTGTCAAGATCTTCAGACTCCATGGGGCTGGGGATTTAGCTCAGTGGTGTCGTGCCTGCCTCACAAGCGTAAGGACCTGAGTTCAATCCCCGACACCGCAAAAAAAAAGGTTTTCAGACTCCTGATCACACTTAGAGAGACCAACCTAACGGTTCATTCTTCCAGGAAAGTCACTGCCCCCATGTACCAATCTCATATTCTGCAATGGTGCTTCAATCTCAGGATCTTTTGATTCCTTCCAAATAGGTCTCTGGGTGCCTTGCTCTGTAATATTGGAGCTATTTTATCATATTTAATAACTAAGTTTATTGAGCTCATACTGTATATTAACACTGGGCCAAATCCTTTGTGTTTTCCGTATCATCTAATCCTCACCAGAAACTCACAAGGGAGCCCCTACTCTTCCATTTTATGGATGGAGAAACAGGTACATCTTCTAGGGTCACAGAGCTGTCCAGTGGCAGAACTTGTATTTGAACCCACGCAGTATGACAACAAATCCAGGTAGTTTATTGTTACATATTCTTCCTCTTCTTTCAGGTTATTGTTTTTAAAGATGTAAAGATAACTCCCTCTGGATACATCCAAGGATTCCATTTCCACCAAAAGAACCTCAAATACTATCACCCTGACTTCCTTGACACACCCTTCTTTGACATAGCACCTTGCTTACCATTTGGTCCAGCAGTAATAGAACCATGAAATCACTGTGCTACCATAAAATCCTAGAATCCATCCTAAAGAGCCACTGAACAGTCCTTTAATGAAGCAGCTGAGGAATTCCTCAGGTAAAGGTATCTAGGAAGGGAGATGTTCCTCCTGCCAGTACTTACCTCATCCGTAGATCCCTGTCCTCGGCATGCAAGCCAGGTGAAGATCAAACCAAAGAACACACCCAGTGCCATGATAATGTAGGGTATGTTGGTGACAATCAGAGTAGTGTTAATTACAGACTTAAGTCGACTTGCAGTCTCTTTATCAATGATAGCACTCTAGAGGGACAAGAAATAGTGACTAAGTATCCAGCATGTAACAGTGTTTTTGTATGCCTTTCTTTCAAATCATCAAATGTAATTTGATTAAGCTGTCTTGTTAGCAGGCTAGATATACTGAAAGCCCATTTATAAATTAAACAGAGAATTTGTCCTTATTTTTTCTCCTGAAGACATGTATTACTCAACCCAGATTGGAAAAGAGGAAAACGATATTCAGAATTGCTGAGATAATCTCTTATTTTGTCTCAAAACAAAATAGAGCTCACCATTACTTTCTTCCAGAAGTTTCCTCTGGCTGCCTTAGTACTGATGAAAGGTCCATTCACTAAGTCTCCACCTCACTCTCTAGAACAACCCTCACTCTCTACAACAACCCTCACTCTCTTGGCATGGTGCATCATAATTATCTGATTACTTGTTTGTCTCCTAGTGACTTTGAGGTCCTTGAAGGCAAATATCTCAGACACCTCTACACAGGGTATAGCACCAAGCATGCAGTAGGCACTCAATTAATACTTGTTGATTACATGAATGAATCAAACACTCACAAAAATGGTGTGTGGAAAGGATCATTTCTCTCTTGGTTCCATCTATAGTCATCAGGACCAGATGTCTCCAGAAAGTGTTGGGTAAGTTGTGGGGCTAACCAGAATTCCAGAGAGAGTTGCTTGCTAAGGAAATATACTAGAATAACACTTTTCAGTATGCAGGGCAGAGGTACTATCACCTAGTGTCATGGGTGAGGTATATGAAGAGCTTAATTCCATAAAAATTATGGGCAGCAATTCTGGGTTAATTTAGGCTTAATTTGCATCAGACTAAGTTAGGAGATCAGGTTCTCTGGCAGTTCTTTCAATTACTGTCTAAAGCCCCTCTGGGTCAGAATTTCTTCCTCCATAAAAGTGCTGGGACTGTAGTCTCCAAGGTCACTTCCAGGTCTTTCATTTTTATAGACAAAAGAAAATTCAAGCTCATTCGAGGAGGCACCAAAAGTATGAATCCGGGAAGAAGGAATGAAACTTCAGTCAAGCCTTTAACAAAAAACAAAGCAAAAGCTGGAGGTAGAACTTGAAGAATGCCATTACCATGAACTTAAGCTTGCAGAAAAGCCCTGGATTTTTAAAATGTCCTATTTTCATACCCTTGCCCACAAACAGTAACAGTGGTGGTCCTGGAGCAATCCCAGTAGCTCCTATAAATTGGTAAACACTGCCTGAATTTTTCCTTTGAAACAATAAAGCCCCATTTTAGAATTGTAATCACAAATCCTTCAAAAAGTATATAAATGTGGCCACCAATGTAACGCTAAATGTAGGGGGGAAAAAGACATAAAATTGCCATGTATGGTATGATTTTAACCATGTAATTTGAACCTAAGAGAGTACCAGGAAGAAACAGGCTTCTAAAGCAGAATTGTACTTGTCCCTCAGAGATAGGCTTATCAGTGATTTAGTTTTTAAATACTATACTTACTTTTTAAAAAATTTCTCAAGAGTTCTATAAAAGACACAAGTTTTACAAAACAAAATATTTTTTTAAAAATTGTTATTGGAAAAAATTTTACAATACATTGAGTAAAGAAAAAAATACATTAAGTCGGCTTTAGATTATGTAAATAGTGATTTTTAATATTTTCTTGTTAATCTGTTGCTAAACTTTCTACAAATAACTTTTTAGGAAACAGAAAATAAAAACTTTAAAATGTTGTTGCTAATAACAGAAGTCTGCCAATCGAGAATTTATTGAAAGAGAAAAACTTATATTGTTCTTTCAAAATTAGGCAGGAAAGAGGAAGAAAATGGGGAAATAAATACAACTCCATTGAACCTGGTATGTAATTTAGAAAAGAATTCATCACAGTTGTCTTGAACTGGCTGGGTTTCAAAGTAGATAAAGCCAGGCTTCCCTGGGCATCTAGCCATGTGCTGGCCCTGTCCTGCTTCCACAGACCTGAAAATGCTTCACTTCATGGTGCCTTTTGCTCTTCACTTGACTGGCTCCCTAGAAGGGAGTTTTAGCCAACTGTTCTCAAGAAGGAAACTTTCTTGCATTTTTCCAAATCAACTCCCAGACATAGCAGGTTCATGTAATCATTTAAGAGAAAATTTCTGAGGACAAACTGCGCTTAAGAAATCATTTTCTACCCCTTCATATCTTACATTGCACGTAGTTACAACAGTAGACATCATAATGGAAGCATTCAAAGCTTCAACAGCTACAATACACTTGTGGCTTCCTCTCAGGACTTACCTCATTGAGATACATCACTGGGAAAACCATGGTTTTAATGTCTCCTGTTTCACTACAAAGACAAAGGATGACATGACTTTAGAGACATCCTCATCATGATGGCACACTCACCTGGAGAGACATATTTAGATGAAAACTCCAATACACTTATTTCATTCAGTTACCTGGAATTTACTGCAGACTTCTTAATTATCTTTGCAAACACATGTAAGTCAGAAGTTAGATTCCAGTGTCAGCCCCACAAGTCCAAGAGCTGCATATATACACAGTGTTTTATCAAAACAAAACTTCTGAAAGCAAACTCATCAAAGTGATCTCTTGTTCTCCCCAGAATCATCAAAGGAAGACACACCTGGTGAAGCAATGTTGCTGCCATTGCTCAGGAAGTTTGTAACTCAGCCACTTAAGGACTGTCTTCCAACAAGTGCCAGCTGAGTCCTTGCCATATATTAGCTCTGTGCTGGGTGCTTTGGGGACATCATTTTATTCAATTTTTACACCAGTCATATGCAGTAAGCATCATTACTGTTGCAGGTTTACAGATGAGAAAATTACAGGGCTGGGGATTTAGCTCAGTGGTTCCGCCGCCTGCCTTGCAAGTGCAAGGACCCAAGTTCAATCCCTGGTACCAAAAAAAAAAATTACAGCTCAGAGAGGTCGGGTAGTTTGCCCCCAGGATCACAAGTGAGTGGTGTATCCAGGGTTATAATTCTATTTTAGTTCCAAGGCTCCAGCTCTTAAATACTAAATTATACTGCCTCAGAAATACATGATTTATAGAATGCTTCTTGCGAACCACATTTGCTTCTTAGAACTATGACGTGTGATTAAATTTGATGAACTCAACAGCAGAAGCAACTCAAGATTGATAGATAGTATTGGTATGGGTAGATCTAAAATATCCCCCCAAAAGCTTTCAGTATGTTATAGGCTTCATCCTATTTTTTTCACTCATAGTTTATCATAAGCATTTTTTCATATCCCCAAAAAAATTCCCACTGAAAAGGAGATTACACAGAGGAATTTGAATTAAGGAGTGGGTGGATGGAGTATTGGAGGCTGAGGTTGGACTCTAGGAGAGCTTGTAGCTGGCCCCAGTAGGGAGCAGAGTGGGTAGAAAGATTGCAACCAGAGTCCTATGAGTAAGGGAAATGCTCAGTGGAGTGGATAAAAGCAGAGTCTATCCACATAGCCTTACAAGCTGTGTGAGTTCCAGCAAGTTACTTAAGCTCTCTGTGCCTTATTTTCCCCATCTGTAAAATGAGAATAATACAAAGCTGTAAGTTAATACATGTAATGTGCTTACAGCAATGCTTGATGCATGGAAAGCATCTAATAAGTGTTTGATTAAAAAAAATCAGCAAATTCCAAGACCAAGATGCCCATGAAAATATGATCATGAAGAGTTAGAGTATGCAGTTAGAGGTAGACTGTCTTCCTCCCAACACCAACCCCACCAGAGTCATAGAGCAAAACCAGGCTCCGTTTTTATAGAAAGAAGCAAAACTTACATAAAGTCATCAATCTTTTGGACATAAATGTTGATTTGGAACCTCTTTGCTGCCCTTAGGATAATTCCAGTCAACTACAAATCAGAAATGAGAAGAAAATGTTAAGATTAAACCACAAGTAGAGCACCATTTCTGTGGCTCTGATAAACAGGGTGGCCATTACACATCTGATAGGCAGAGAGGTATAAGGGAAAACTGATCCCCAGAACAGAATGAGAAGTTGACCAGTGCAGTAAGATGAAGGTGGATCCTTGGGGGTTCTGGAAAATATGGGTTCTGATTCAGTAGGTGCATGGGGGGGGGTCAAGCCTGGACATCTCTAACAAGCTCCCACTTTGCATAGAAAGCCCAAGAGGACCCCTCAGGAGGAGAGGCCACCAGGGTTGGACCTGCAGGCAGTTGTCCAGAGCTGAGAGGAGGATGCCATTCCTGTCAGGCCACCAAACAGCCCAGGAAAAGTAGCTCCTGCACTTGTCTTCCCAAGCACCCCCTTTGCTCTGAGGTGTAGGATTACGCTTACCCCCAGCTGAGAGACTGACTGATGGCTAAAGTTAGACCTGATCTCATTCACCAAAGGGTGAGGTCTCTGCTTTCTCCATCTAGATGTGATGAGTGTGGCTAAGAAGGAAATGAGCAGAAAATGAGATGCTAAAAGGATGTTTTTGCCTTTCTTTATTGTTCCATGGTGTTCAGAGTCCCAAAAATGAAGCTATCTGACCTGTAATTTAACTTCTACAGTAACAGACACTCACATGGTGAAGTGATATTCCTACCATTTTAACATGGTTGTACTTGTTCTCTATGAATTCAGGCCTGGTGTGTATATATTTCTATACTTTTAAAATTAATAACATCAACCTCTTAAGGTACTTGTAAAAAGACGTTTGCCAAAAGTGACTGAAGCTAATATACATACTTAAATTGCAGCCAAATATTCCTGGCAGTTTGGTAAGCAGAGTGACATCTTTGGTCTCCCTGATCTGTGTCCCAGTGAGAGAAAGGTAGCTCTGTTCTGTGGCCCAAAGCTGACCACAGAAGACTGAGCGGGTTACATGGCTCCTGTCTCAGATGTTTCCAATGACTGAATCTACACGGTTGCTTTTTCTTTGTTTGTTTGTTTGTTTGTTTAAAGCAGGTTTGCTGGTGTTTCTGCATATTAAATCCACAGAATTCAGGCTTCTAATTCAGGGCTGCATGACTGTGCCTCAACATGCACTGAGCTACTTCCCCCACTTGAATATATACATGTAAAGAAGACAGTGTGTTTCTCAAGTGCTCAAGGGTAAACTAGTGTATACTGCAGAGTAAAACATATGCTCATTTTTTAGGAAGAAGTGTGTACTCACAGGATTAATGTCCACAAAAGTCTCATGATCCTCTTTATTTGGATGCAAGCCTCGTATGGCAGAAATAAACCTCTCATCTGCTTGATAAAAGTGTGGGAAAGACATAATAATGGGTGCACCTGCATTTTAAGGGAAATAGAAATGAATGATGCTGTTTTAAAAATCTAAGATAAATATAAAGGTCCTGACCATAAACTTGGTTCCCAAAGAGGGAAAAAATGCCTTATCTAAGTAAATATGGGAAGGTGGGCAGCTAAAATATATTTCTAGGGCTCCTAGTTCAAGATTTATGCTTTATTTTCTGCCATCTCATGTACCCACATTTTATTGCATATTATATATATTGAAATCCTAGCTAAATTATTTCTGCTTCAATAAACATTTACTGAAACTATTCAGTCTACATTCTTTATATACATTAATGCTCCAGCAGCCTTATGAAATTAGAACTTTTATCCTTGTTTTGCACTGAAAGAAGCTGAAGTTCACAAAAGTTACACAATTTGCCTAGAGACAAGTAGCTGTCAGATTAGAGGCAGCTAAAGAAATGAAATCCTCCCACCTCAAAGCACTCATTTCAATTACAGTTCTCTACTTGTTAATGGAATTTTTTTTCCTTTTAACCAGAAATGGACCTTGTTCTGGATGTGTTGACTCCAGAATTTTTTTTAAGAGTTTGCCTGCTTCTGCTGTATGCATAGCCACTAACCAGATGAAGGTCTGCCCTATGAAGACTCTGGGGTTTGTTTTCCGTTTCCATTCATTTTAAGAGCCAAATAGAGAAGCAGATTATTAAAATCAATCTATTCCAGATCTGGATATTGAAAATAAGAGAATGACCCAATCATGGCTAAAAGGGAAATATATTTTTGGAGAAATTAGTTTATTGGCAAATAATTTAAATTTTCTTACACATCCACCAGCCCACGGCTAAAGGTACACATGGTCTCTCAACATGCACAGCATTCTGCTCTTTACTGCTAAACTTCCACAAAACCATAATTTCCTTCTCTGTGACTTACAGTGACTTAAAAAATATATATTTAAATATATATTGAGGGTTTGATAAGAGCCAGACACTGTCCCACGTATGTTACATACATTACCTCTAACCCTCATGCAACCTTCCAAGAAGTTATAATTGTCCCCATTTTGTGGATGAAAATTGCCATCTGGAATCCTCCTTAATCTATGTGTCCAACTGGCTAACAGAATGGGTAGGACTCAAACCCCAAGCCTGACTTCAGAACATTCTCCCATCTGGCTATCTAAAATGTTCCCTGGGACTGGGGATTTAGCTCAGTGGTTCCGCTACCTGCCTCGCAAGGGCAAAGACCCGAGTTCGATCCCCGGTACCAACAAAATAAAAAATAAATAAAATAAAATGTTTCCTGGAGGACTGAAAACAATTGAGGATAAGCCTCAATTTGCCAGTCCAAATTTGGGGATACATAAGAAGAAAAGAACCATAGCAAGAAGTCTGAGTGTTACAAAGTAGACTCTCTGCTGGCTCTGGCATTGATTTCTCAAGGAAGAAGAATATTGCCAGGCCAGGGATTTAGCTCAATGGTTCCACTGCCTGCCCCGCAAGTGCAAGGACCTGAGCTCAATCCCTGGTACAAAAAAAAAAAAAGAATATTGCCAAAACAGCAAGAAAAATGTACCTACATTCATGCCTTAACCTGGGTGGTGAGGGAAGGATGGCCCCCATTCACTGTTAGCCATCACCTCCAGGCAAGGAGTACCATGTTCCCATGTGCAGCAGTCTCCAGATACTTAGACACCTTCTTCATGAGAATCACTTGGAACACTTGTTAAATGTATCGATTCTGGGAACCAATACATTTTTAATAGCTCTCCGGGGAGTTGACACAGGGTGTCACTATGTAGTTCAGGCTGGCCTTGAATTCACTATTTAGCCCAGGCTGGCCTCAAACTTGCAGCAATACTACCTCAGACTCCCTAGTGCTGGAATTATAGGCATGCACTATGCCCAGCTCTGAAAGGAGATTTTAAAGCCAATTAAACAAGCACATTACTTTATTCAGGATAGGGGGTTACAAAGAGGGAAGTTTCTCCAGGAAAAACTAGAGAGGAATTATAGCCTTAAAAGGAAACAAGTTCAAATATAAGAAGATCCTGAGTTCCAGCAAAGATTTACTGAGAAGTAATGGTTTTATAAAAAGCACATTCCCTCTCTGAGCCTTGATTTCCACAATTATGAAACAAAGACATTGAACATCCATATAGTAGGCTATCATGAATAATCCTACAACATATGACTGGTAAAACTAGTCTTCAAAGAGATACTGTTGCCAGCTGTATCACTGATAATTCTGCCTCATTCATGAGGAGAAGCAGAGAGCTCAGACATTAAGAAACACTGGGAAATTTGTGGTCAGGGTTTAAAGCTAACTCTGCTTCAAAATATTGAGAATCTTTACCAAAATAGGTACTTTTTTTGTTTTTTGGTACCAGGGATCGAACTTGGGTCCTTGCGAGGCAGACAACGGAACCACTGGGCTAAATCCCCGGCCCACCAAAATAGGTACTTTTTTTAAACCAAGTTGTCTAGTTTCCTTTCAGCAATGTTTGGAACCTGCCTCAGTTAATGCTTTCCATGAATTAACAGCAGCACAGTAAATATAAGCTATTATTACAAGTAAGACTCCCAAACTACTGCTCAAGAAAAAAAAGACCACATGGCATTCTAAAAATAGATAATCACAGAAAACCAATAATTTGTAATCATTCCATAGCCATGTTACAAAACATACTTGTGAGAGGGCAGAATCATTCTGTTGCTTGGCACCCTGTCCTTTATTGCACTCAAATTCTTCCACATCCTGCATGCCCCTCATCACAGCCCCTCTCTGGTTCTTACCGTTCTTGCAGATGCTGACATTCAGCACTCCAGTGCCCAGGCAGTTTCCTTCAGGAAGACAGAAGCCAGCATTTTCTGAGGTATTGGCTAATATTTCTCCGGGCACCTTATACCGAAAGGTGGGCAGCCCCTCTACACTCCCATAGTCACTGAAGGTTATATATACAGACCTGTCAAGATGTCAGAAGAAAACGTCAGTGTGGGCTGCAGCCAGCATGGTCCACACCAAGTCAATCTGTTAGCAACAGGTGTCAGACAACACAACTAGAAACTTGTGGGGTTTAAGGGGAAATTGAGGATGCAAAAGAATGCTTGGAAGAAGCTCCACCAGCTCTCTGTGGGACAAAGCAGATGATCTGTAATGAGAGACATTTCAGAGGTGGCAACTATGCTAACATGTGAACAAGGCCAAGAGAAATCAATGGTGTTGGAAAATTAAGAAGGAAACATGTAAGTCAGTTGTAGTGGTATACACTTGTAATCCTAGCTACTTGGGAGGCTGAGGTAGGAGGATGGCTTGGGCCTGGGAGTTTGAGGCCAGTCTGAACCACATAGTCAGACCCTATCAATCAGTCAGTCAGTAGGCCCCAAGTGTTTTCTTAAAATTTCTTTAAGAGCTCATCTTTACAATTCTAAATGCTAATTTATACAGACTAAATAAATCCACTAAGACCAATAGTAAAAGCAAACAGTTATCTATCTATCTATCTATGGCACTAGTCTGAAGATTTAATAAATATTGACCCATTTAGAATGGAGATACTATATAAAAAAATGAATACATGAAAAGGCTCCTGTCGACCATCAGGGAACCAGGCCACTTTGCGGAGCAGGGGCACAGAGCAGAGAAGCAAGGGGAAGGTGGGGGGTGGCGCACAAGAGGGAAGACACCAGGGCTTGGCCCAGTAGAGTCTTGAGGACCTGAAAAGAATCCCATTGGACGGATTTTTTAAAAAATTCTTTTATTGGTACATTTTAGGTATACAATACGTTTACATTTATCATTGGGTGCTCGTACCCGTACATGATGTATCTTAGTTCTTATTTTTTCCCCCATTACCTGTGCGCCCTTCACCCCCTCCACCTTTCCCTATTTACATAGATTTCATTTCCATTTTTTTTCTTTTCTCATAATTTTTCCTTTCCCTTCTTTCTTTTCCCCTTCCCCTCCCACCACCCCTACACCTTTGGACCTTTTCTTATTTTAAATTATCAATTATTCATTTTAATCCTTATTTACACTTTCAGTTTCTCACACTAGAGAAACTATTTGGTATTTACAAGTGTGTCCTATTTATTTCACTTAAGCGTATGGCCTGAATATGCATCCATTTAGCTATAAATGTCTCTAGTTTCTCGTTATGACTGAGTAGTACTCCATTTTATAAAAAAAAACACATCTTCTTTATCCAGTCTCCAGTTGATGGGGACTTGGGCTATTTCCAAGCTTTAGCTATTACAAACTGTGCTGCTATAAACATGGGTGCACATATATTGCTGTGGTATAATTCTCTTAATGCTTTGGGGAAGATTCCCCACCAGGGGAAGAGCTGAGTCAAATGGGACCTCTAGCCCTAGTTCTTTGAGGTATCGCTATACTGATTTCCACAGTGGCTGCACCAGTCTGCACTCCCACCAGCAGTGGAGCAGTGTTCATCTTTCCCCACACCCCTGCCAGCATTTGCTAGTGGTTGATTTCTTCACAGCAGCCATTCTTTCTGGGGTGAAGTGGAATCTCAGTGTTGTTTTCACCTGCATCTCTCGAATGACCGGTGATGTTGAACGCTTTTTCATATGTTTATTTGCTGCTTTCACTTCTTTGTCTGAGAAATGTCTGTTCATTTCAGATGCTCATTTTTGAATTGGGTCTTTGAATTTGGGGGGTCTGATTTTTTTCAATTCTTCATATATTCTAGATAGTAGACCTTTGTCTGAAATACAGCTGCTAAAAATTTCTTCCCACATTGTAGGTTGTCTCTTAGCTTTGTTGGTGGTTTCTCTTGCAGTGCAGAAGCTTTTTAATAAGATGAAATCCCAGTTGTTGATTCTTTGTGCTAGCTCCCATGCTACTGAGGTTTTGTTCATAAAGTCTTTTCCTATGCCATTGGATGGATTTTTGACTGGAATATCCACATCTTGCACCACACAACATTTCAGGCAACAATGGGCCACGTATATGATGGTCCAACAAGATGTCACCTGGTGATGTCATAGCCCCCTTAGCTATGTAGGTAGTCTGTGATGTTCATACCTACCGATGCATTTCTCAGAACATGTCCCTGTCATTAAATGACACAAAATTGTACTGTGATACTCATGTCCTCAAATAAAAGGTTTCTATGTTTTCTCCAGTTGTTTGCTTCAGTGGGGTCAATGTTATCTTGCCTTTGGTCCTTATTTTCAGACACAGTTCCACATTTTTATACTGTCCCCTTACGTTTGCACAGTGCTGGACAGACAGAGCACTTTCCTGTATACTACTCTCATGGCTCTTTCAATTCTTCACTTGGAGGCCAAGAGGGAGAGCTTCCTTGGCTTCATTTACTCTTACTTCCTCCCCCCGCCCCCACCAACAGTATTGGGGATAGAACCCATGGGTCCCCTACTACTAAGATATGCCCCCAGCCCTTTTTATTTTTTGTTTCGAGACAAGGTCTCACTAGGTTACCAGGCTGGCCTCCTCCCAAGTAGCTGAGATTACAAGTGTGTGCTACCACGCAGGACTTACTTTTTGGTATATGAACCAGAGTGTGGATACATCTCTCACAGGGTTGTAACATGGGAGGTGCCTTCCACTGTACATTCTACCCACAGCATGTATTAAGGAAATAATTCAGGCAAACAGAAAATATTATACCAAATACAACTGATGCTCCTTATATAATGCTCTTGGCCCCAACCTTCTCTGCCTGCCCTGAGGAAATTACTCTTTAGAATGTGGAGTTTCTCATTCCAGGCAGCTCTTTATACTTTTATTAATGTGTGTATTCATTAACAATATGTGTCATCATTTGCTATTTTAAAATGTTATAAACAGTATACCACATTCTCTTTCTGTGATTTACTTCTTCAATATTGTATTTTGAAGTTTTATTAAAGTACAAGGCTCTGGTTCTTTTAAATCTTATATGATGTTCCATCATATGAATACATCATAATTTACTTATTCTCTCTTCCCCCTTCTGTCTCTGCCTCTCTTTGTCTCTCTGTGTGTCTGTCATCTGTCTCTCTCTTTATTCAAGCTGGCCTAGAACACCCCCCCCCCATGTAGCCCAGGCTGACTTAGAATTTGAAGCCAAAGGCACTCTAACACTGAGTTAACTCCCCAACCCTTTTTTATTTTTTAGAGACAGGGTCTCACTAAATTGCCCAAATTGGCCTCAAACTTGTGATCCTCCTGTCTCAGCCTCCCAAGTAGCTAGAATTACAGTTATGCACCAATGCTCTTGCATATATTCTCCTTTTTTTTTTTTTATAAGCTTAAGTTGCTTCTAGTTTTTCACTCTGACAAAGCAAGATACATGTCTGTCTATGTCTCCTTGCATGTATATAGAAGAGTTCCTATCCAGGAACCTACCTTGGAGAGAACTGCACAATCACAACTTTGCAACTCTAGGCTTCACTGAACTTTCCTAGGCATCTCTCCAAAGCCCTTCTACCACACAAAATCTGTTTCCTCTGGCCCAAATCTTTAAAGCTCACCTCCAGCCCTCTGTGTTCCTCTGCTGCACACCACTAGCACACAGCCCTCTTCCTCCAGTCTCCTCATGGGTATTTACCAGCCTGGGGTCTAAAAGGCCTAAGTGACACCCAGTGAGTGCAGATGGGTTGGGAGAACCCAGTGCTGTTTCTGAGGGGAGGCACAGCATTTGGTGCCTGAACAAACACAAGAGGGGAGGAGATTTAGTGTCACCAGTTTCTGGTGTGGCTGCTAGGTAGGCAGTGTGATTTTGAGAGACAGGATCACCTGGTGGGAAGCAAAATGACACTCAGCAGGGTCCAAGGTGACTAGGTCCCTCTGCCCACCTCACAGGAATGGGTAGGCAGGAAGACAGGGCTGCAGCCTAGGGCCCTGGTCCACACAGTGTGAAGTGAAGGTGAGAGAGGATAGAGGAGGCCTCATGGGAGACTTCTTGTGGTCACCGCAGGGGAAGGAGGAGGGAAGAGAGGTCACACAGCAAGGGGGTAATGGCTAAGCAAGTGCCATGTGCTCTAGAACCCAGAAAGTCACATTCATTCATCCTGTAGGCCAGGGAGCTGTGACCTAGAAGAAGGCTGACTGAGAGTTCACCCTTGATACATCATATCAACTCCAAGCCAGTGCTTGGTATCCTATAGTGTGAACTGAAACTTACCTGGCCTCGTAACAAACCCAAAGGTAGGTAACTGTTTCTAACCTTATACATATAGGGAAGCTGAGGCACCCAGTGGTTAAAAAATAGTCCATGGTCACAGAGCTGTTAATTGGTGGGCCTGAGCCAAACCAACACAGTGAGGCTGGGGTTGGTGATAGGACCACTGCACACACCATCCTTGAGCACCTCATCATAGATCATTGCTAAGCGAAATAGCTGTCCCTAGTGAGCATGTTCACAAGCCACAAAGTTTGGTGGTGTTGTGATCATGGACTTTGTTTTGTACCCTGAAGAGCATAACATTGGGTTACAACAACCTATCCCATATTTTCCTACTATAAATTTGTACTTTAGCATAACAGTAGCTGGCTTGTGCATCTCAGCAACTGCACCTGAGGGATACAGGAGGCAATCTTTGTGTTTACTGACTTGGTACCATGTATGGCAAGATGTGCACACAGGTGCAAAAGAGTCAAACCAGGATTTTTACCCACATAATGCTCATCTAACAGATTTTACATATGTTTACCATCACAGGGGGTAAAATACACCCACGCCACTCTTCTGTTATGAAAATATGTATTTTATCATAATGGAATGTGAGTGTAACTCACAGTAGCTGCACCTGGGGAAAGCAAGAACCCATGTGTGCATTCACCCACTTGGCAGACAAATGGCAAGGCATGTACAGAAGCACCAAAGCAGCAACAAGTGAGTTTTACCCATGAAATGCTCATTGCTAAATTTCTCTGCATTTAGGTTTTTTTTTTTAAGTTTTCTTTTGATTTTTCTGGTAGAAGTTGCCCAATTCAGTACAGTGGTATATGAAAAACCAGATTTGCAAGTTTTGGAGGAGGTCAAAAGTGAATCATCAGATTACTCATGCTTAAATGATGAAGATGATAATGACTTTGATGTTGGCCATGTGAGCCAAAGTTCCTGTGACAGTGAAATGGAACAAGAAATGACTGATACAGATAAAGGGAATACAGACTTTCTTGATTCAGATGACAAAAAAACAGCAATGTGAGTATATATTTGACTAGTCAAAATGTTGCAAAATGGTCACACAACCTAATGGAATGATCAAATGTTAGAACTAGGTCCAAAAACATAGTGAGGATCATGGCAGGGGTGAAACCTATTGAACAGAATGCCAGCACTGCCATTCAATGTGGAAATTGTAACAGATGAAATGCTACAAGATGTTGTGAAATACACAAAGGCTGAAATACAATTAAAACATTCTGTATGTACCAACAGCCATACTCAGAAATGTTTTTATTATGCCACCTCACTAGCTGAACTGAAAGCATTCATAGGTCTGTGGTACTTGGCAGGAATTTCTCATGGTAATTGCAGGAATGTAAAAGACCTATGGAAAAGGAAAAGCAAAAATATGGCATAAAAATTTATGCCCTTGTAGATGCGAAGACTTATTATACTCTCAATTTAGAAATTTATCCTGGAACTCAGCCACCAGGTCCTTATATGTATACAAATAAACCAAATGATGTTGTGAACAGACTTGTTGCTCCCATCTCCCAAACTAATTGGAACGTAACATTCAACAACTGGTTTACCAGTTTCGAATTGATGCTACATTTGCTAACAAGTTGATCAGCATAGGAACTTTACGCAGGAACAAAACAGAAATTCCAAATGAAATGTTGCAATTTCAAAACAGAATTATATAGTAAAATATTTAGATTTCAGAAAGATATAACATTGGGCTTGTATATAGCCAATAAAAACAAAGTGGTACTGCTGATGTCAACACTGCACCATGATGGAAATATTGATAGGGAAATCTCAGCAAAACAGAAGCCTGAGATAGAAGCTTTCTAAAACAAGTTCAATCCCTGATACCAAAAAAAAAAAAAGAAGAAAAGAAACTTTCTACAACAAAACCAAAGGCAGAGTAGATGTTGTTGATGACATGCAGCAACTATGATGTCACTTGAAATGCAAAGAGCTGGCCAATGGTTGTATTTTACTCAATCTTAAACATGTGTGGCTTGATAGTTTACAAAGAAAATAGCAAGTACAAAATACTACAGAGAAATTTTCTTAGAAGATTGGGACTGGAACTCATAAGAGATTATTTATAGCAGAAGAAAAATAAAATGTTTCTGCCCAGGGAACTACACAAAAAAATTGTGGAGCACACTGGTGAGCTGACAGATAAACAGGCAGGTGCAGCATCACAAAGACCTACTCTGACAAGAGGAAAACCAAAAAGGGGATGTCAACTGTGCCCTATAAGAAAGGACAGGAAAACAAAACATATATGTTATCAGTGTAAATATTTGTGTATGGAACATGCAGTTTTCATGTGTGAAGACTGCCTTGGGTGTGACAACTGAAGCAAAGATTATATCTGTGGTAGGCTTTTGTTTGTATTTATATTGTAGTTCACAAAGGTTTTTATTTCTGATGTTATCCTTTAGGCTTGATGAGCAAGTACACAGCTCATGTGAAAATGTTGATGTTTATTCCAAACACACAATATATATTAAGAATTTAATATTTTATTTTATTGATATTTTATGTTCCTGTTAACTAAACATTGTATAATATAATAAGAACCTCCTAACAAAACAAAAAGACCAGTGATATGTCAACTATGTCCTACTAAAAGGCCAGGAAAGCAAAACTCATGTACTGTCAGTGTAAGTGATACATGTATATGGAACATGCTGTTGTCGTGTGTGATGACTGCCTTAGGTGTGATAATTGAAGTAAAGATTTATTTCATAGAGGTCTATTGGTATTTGCATTGTAATTCTATAAGAATTTGTTTCTGTTATTATTTTTTAGACTTTGTACATCAAAAAATAGTTGATGTTGAAAATGTTGATGCTTTTTTATGAACATTCAATAAATATTAAAAATTCAATAGTTTTAAAAATATTTTCCCTGTTAAGTACTCATTGTTTAATATAATACAACTAAAAATTAAAATTAATAATTCACCAATAGAAATATTCTAAATAATAAATGTGGGTATTATACACCCACATTTCTGCACCTTTGTGAAAATTGTTATTTTGCCCCTTGCTAAAAAGAACTCATTCTTACAGTTCCTACCTGCAGAAGTCAGATGGGAAGACATAAAGGACTTCATCTTTGGTTATTAGTGGGTGAAAAGAATCTCCATCTGTCCCATTAATCATGTTGCATTTGTCTGTTGTCCACCAGTCAAGAGATCTATAATTGATAAACACAAGGAAAAGTAAAAATGATCAAATTAGACTTTAGGTTCCCTTAAATAGTGTAAGGACTTTGAGATGTGACTGGAGCTGGCTACTCATGGCGTCTTATTCAAAACAGGCACACAAGTGCTAGGGATTATACAAGGGGGAGAAAAAGAAGACCCTTGGCCCCAAATCAACTTTTTTTAAGGTAATAGTGATTGTACATCCCCACTCCCCCTACACACCTTTTTTTTTTTTTGGTACCGAGGATCGAACTCTGGACCTTGCACTTCAAAGGCAGGAGCAGCACCATTGAGTTAAATCCCTAGCCCCCCATTTTTATGTTTTTTTAAAGACAGGGCCTTGCCAAGTTGCTAAGTTGCCCAGGTTGGGCTTGAGTTTGTGATCCTCTGGCCTCAGCCTCCTAGTGTGCTGGGATTAAGGTATGCACCATCATATCTGGCTCCAAATCAATTTTTATAAAAGTTAACAGCCCAGAATCTCTACTTTCTTCCTCCAAAAATTACATCCAACCTAGAGGTCTAGAAACATTGACTGACTTAATGCAGTAACCCAATTTAGCAATAATACCCTCCTTGTCCATAGCCAGGCTACAAACAGAAGCTCTGGTAGACATATCCAGCTCTTTATGTTCACATAGACTATTGACTCAATCTATACTCTGAACAATTCCCTCTTCCAAAAATAATGGAGGACTTTTCTTGAATCACAAGAAAAGTCAATTAAAAGCATGTTCCAAGGGCCAAAGAGGCTAAATAAATTCAAGTCTGAATACATTATATTAACTGTACAAGATCAAGGGGGAAAGATAAATGCCAAAAGTCAATGGAGTAATTTCATCATAGTTTTTTTTTTTTTTTTTTTTTTCCAGAAAAGGTTTTAATTCCAGTTCTTGAAATCTGGGAGGCAGACACCAGGAACAGCCCTGAGAAAAGCTGGGGAGCTTGGCTGTCACCTTCAGCTCTAGCCAGGGTAGACAGGCCCTCAACGTACATTTCTGATTTAGAGTTCCTGTGCTGTAGGGCCCAGCTCCTGGTTTAGCGGCTGGGGTCCCCATGTCTGAGGTCACCAGGAGGAATGTTGCTTTGGCTTAGAACAAGTTCCGTCTCCTTTGTCACTGACACTGAGGGGTGGGCTGGTTAAGGGATAGACAGTCTTGAGAGGCCAGGTCAGCTCCAGGGCCACAGCTGTTTAGACTGAGAAGTCCAGACCAGTGATGGCTGGAGGGGGTGCCTGTAAGCAGCACCTGAGAGTCTGGAGGGCTGCCCCTGGGGCATGCCAGTGGACCCTTCTACAAGGAAAATGGGTGTGGTGCCTGCTGTTCCAAGAGACTCCTTGGCTGTGAACAGCTGGGCCACAGTCCATCTGCTTTTCTCTCCTGAGGGGACATTGCTGTCCTGACCTTTTTGATAGCCGTCCAGTCTTCCAGGATATGGATCTCCTGCAGCATGTACACGATATAAGGGCCAGAAATGAGAAGTGCCTTCTTCCTCTTGCTCGGTGGCACTAAGTCCCAGGTCCTGGAGCTGCCTCTGGCATGTAGTTTGTCATCCCACCACTCGGAGCTGAAGTCCAGGCTCTGGTGATCCTCCTCCAGCCTCTGGATCCGTTCCTGCTGCTCCCCCTGTCACAGAGCAGCAGCTTCTCATTCTCCAGGAGCTGCCTGGCTCCTTGCAGCACACACTCGCACTTATTCCTAATCCCGTCCAGACAGAAGCCTTTGTAGATTCCTGCCACCTGAATGCCAATCTTGAGGCTCCTCTTGCAGTCCCCCAAGAGGCGCCGTGTACCCTGGGGCTCTCTCAGCCCCCACTTCCTCCAGCCGCAAGGGCAGCTGACTCAACCGCTCCCTGGACTTCTTCAGCTGCGAGAACTGCTTTTAAGCCCAGCATTTCATCGTCGCACTCCATGTGACACAGCTCATAGTACTCATCGTCCATCTCTGAGCTCTCCTCTTCTGATTCGGTCTGGGTGCCACTTTGTTCCTTCTCACTCTCCTCTTCCCTGCTCATCTCAGCAGCCGCGTCGCCCTCTGCTTCCATCTCTTCTGTGTGTTTGCTCGGAGGTTGGACGGACATTTGGGCTCTGAGTCCGCTGGAATTGGCTGCCGCCACCAGGGTCCCGCAAACTTCGTGCAGGTCCCTCTTCTCCGAGAGGCTTTCATCATAGTTTTGAATTGTCAACCTAGAATTCGGTAACTGGCTTAAATCATTCACAACTAAAAGAGAAATATTAAAATTCTGCAGGTTCGGTGACGTGACCCTCCCCCATTCTCATGCAAGAACTTGAGAGTCTCGCGTGGAGGCCCGTCCTGCACACGACAGACCCTGCCCAGTGGACACCGGCACCACTCTCTGCCATGGCACCCACACATATGTGCAGTCATCGGCATGTGCCCTCGGGGACAGGATGGCCCCTGACTGAAAATCCTCACACTAATAGATAATCTTTAGCAAGAAAAAATGTAAACCCAGGAGGAAGATGTGAAAAGATTTTATTATTAAAATACAGGGCTGGGGATGTAGCTGTGTAGAGCACTTGCCTGGCACAGCAAGGCCCTGGGTTTAATCCCAAGTACATGTACACACACACACACACACACACACACACACACACACACACAAAGTGGATGTGGTGGAACAGACCCTGTAATCCCAGTCCTCAGGAGGCTGAGGCAGGAGGATTGTGAGTTTGAGGCCAGACTGGGCTACACAGTAAGTCCTGACTGGGCAATTTAGACCCTGTCTCAAAATTTAAATGAATGAATGAATGAATGAGTGAATGAAAAAGAAAGACTGGGGATATAGCTCACTACAAAGGTCTTGGGTTCAATCTCTAGTACCACAAAAAACAATAAGTACATAAATTTAAAAATTAAAAAGTTCTGCCATCTTCCCAGAAATGTCCTCTAAACATTCTTTGGATTCTCTCAATCTGCTCCTTTATTTTAGGATTGGACTCATGCTCCTTACTTTCTCAATTAAGCCAATTTATGGACTTTTAGTATCCTGAAGAATTTTGGGTGTAATGGATCTGGTAAGGATGGAGTCTAAATTAATCAAAGGAATGCCAATGTGGATCACTGTGGCTGACTTTGATTGAGTCCGGGAAGTACCATTTTTAGTTATGATTTCCTTGTCTCCTTTCCACTATCTTTTATTTCTTCTATCCAACCTAACCAACTACTTCCAAAAAGAAGCAGAGGAAGCTTACAATAAAGCAAGATTTTTTTTTTTTTTTTTTTTTTGGTACCAGGGATCGAACTCAGGACCTTGTGCTTTCAAGGCAGGCGCTGGAACCATTGAGCTAAATCCTTGGCCCAAAGCAAGATTTTTTTAAAGTCAGAAAACAAGATTTTTTAAGTCAGGAAAAGAAGAAACCTTTGAGAGGAAAGGAAGCCACTGTTTCAGAGCCTAGGGTATGAGGAATTCTGTCCCTGGACAGTTTACGTCTAGGCTTCTCAGCAACCCAGGCAAAGGGATACACAATGTGATTTTGGGTTGTATTGGCTAAATTATTTCAAGAGAAAGAGACTGCATCTTGGTTTTAAATTCTGGGAGGAATTTATCATGTGCATCTTTTGTAAAAGAAACTTTGGGCAATGCAATGAAAAACATCAACAGTATTTTTAAACTGTTTATGTATTTGTATTAGTATGTTTGCAATATATAATGAATACATTCATTATGGAGAATTGGTACAAATACATAGCACAATTTCTTTTCTTTTCCTTTGTAAAGAACTCAGGATCAAACCCACTGAGCTACATCCCCAGCCTTTTTTATTTTTCATTTTGAGATAGGGTCTCTCACTAAGTCTTGCTAAATTGCCCAAGCTGGGTTCAAACTTGTGATCCTCTTGCCTCAGGCCCCCAGAGTGCTGGGATTACAGGAAGTTGCCACTACACCCAGCTTTGCAGCATTTTTGTAGGTAATAAACATATTTTTCATGTGGCCATTTCTACTATTTCTAACTCATTGGAATTATTTGACAGACAACAGAGCTAATATCTGTGAGGTACATTTCTTCCTGAGAATGTAAGGATCAGGAGCCTAATCCTAAAATAAAGGAGCAGGTTGAGAGAATCCAAAGAATCTTTAGAGGGGCCAGGGATTTAGCTCAGTGGTTTTGGTGCCTGCTGCGCAAGCACAAGGACCCAAGTTTGCTCCCCCGTACCGAAAAAAAACCCAAAAAAACCCCACAAAGAATCTTTAGAGGACATTTCCATGAAAATGGCTGAGCAGTAGCAGCAACAAATCAGCCTCTCCAAAATTCAGAATCCAGACACTGGAAAATAACAACTTAAAGAAGAAAAGAAGGGCGGTGGATCCCTGGGATCCACAAAGGATCCCACAGGAAAATTGGAGCCTACCAAGAAATTGAAGAGACAGAACATAATGCAGAAAAAGGAAGAGACAATCTATACTTTTTCCTGACTCCTGCCTTGTGGCATGAGAAAGGAAGATGGAATCTACACAGACACAGTGAAAGCAAGTGCCTCCAGAGGCCTTCAGAGAGAAACGCACCAGTGGAATGGAGCAGTGCATGCTGTGCACTACAACAGCTAGTAAGTGACTCCAGTCCAGGTGCCTGCCATATCCCCTGGAGTCAGTGTTTGGTAGATGCCATTCTAGAGAGGGGCTAAATGAACCCAGGACTCAGAGAAGCTGAGGGTTGGCTTCATCTCAGGTCTCCCAGTGTTAAACTCCCATAGTGACTGCGTGAGGGACATCCATGGGAGATGTCCAGGGTCAGGGAGCCTTAGTCAGGCTGGCAAGAGACCTCAGAGTGTTATAAGTTAAATGACTCAGGCCACACCCTCATGACCAGAGGCCAGATTCAGGCTGAATTTCACTAGATTTGAAAGTCCCAGAACCGGCACCCCACCCTAATCCTACTGCCAGCTTGCTGGTTGGTGATTATCCAACACGGATCTAGGCTCTGACTGCCTCCTTTGACTACCAGTGAGAGCAGGATATGTACTGAATTGGA